TAAATTTAAAATTGACTGATGAACACAGACAAAATTCTTTTTTCAGAATTAAAATATTTTTTTAATATTACTTACTGAATGTAGTTTATAAATTCCTTTAAATCCCATCTCAAAATCACTCTAAGTCAAAAACAGTCTGGACACCTAATTAGTAAAAAGTAACTCTGTTTGCTGCAGGTGTTTTTGCACGGGATGTCATCGCTCCCCGAACCTGCTTTGGACCAATGGTGGGCCAGCATTGCAGCAATGTAGATCTGTCTGATTGGCCAGAAAAGGACACGCCTCAAATATGGAAGGTCAGTGCATTGGTGTATTTATTCAATTTAATAAATGAATAAAAAGCTGAAGGAGCTAACGTCGCACTTTTGATGTCGCAGATGTATCATAATAACGTGCTGGAGTTCTGCATCGTCACAACAGATGAGAACGAATGCAACTGGATGATGTTTGTCCGCAAGGCAAGGTACGACCCGCAGTGTAACTAACAATTTGGTAACTTTATCTTATGTGTTAAAACTGAGCGATGTTGTTTATTCAGGACGTGTGAGCAGCAGAACCTGGTGGCGTACCCTGCCAACGGCAAACTGTTCTTCTGTACGACCACTGAGATCCACCCGGACCAGGAGCTGCTCTTCTATTACAGCAGAGACTACTGCAGATTGTTGGGTGAGGGGAAACTGAGTCCAGTCTTTCCATCTCTTCTAAATGTGTTGAAAATGTATTATTATAAAGTGATAATTTGCTATTTGGTGTCTGTGCAGGTGTTCCTCAGATGCCCGATGGCCAGATGTGCCAGTGTGGTAAAGAGTGCTCCTCCTTCAATGAGCTCAAGTCACACCTGGGCAGCCATAACAGCAACCACAACCATAATCAGCCTCAACACAACCACAGCCCACAGCAACAGGACCACTGTCAACAACAGCAGCAGCAGCCACAGGAGCAACAACCGCAACAACAGCAACACGCCCACCAGGATGAGAAACTCACCAACGGAACCTCCAGCTCCTCCTCTTCTCCGTGGCCCTGCCACGCTCCCTCCACGGGACAAACGCACAACGAAAGCTGCGCACGCAGGGACGGCAGTGACAGAAACTCTGATAATAACCCAAGGGTCAAAGGACAGGGTCACGTGCGGGAGAAGAAATTCAAGTGTAGCATGTGCTCCCAGGCCTTTATCACTTCCACTAAGCTCAACTTGCACTTTATGGGACATGTGGGAATGAAACCCCACAAGTGTGAATACTGCAGCAAGGCCTTCAGCGATCCCAGCAACCTTAGGATGCACCTCAAGATCCACACAGGTAAATGTAATATATATATTTATATATATATCTATATATAAATATATATGTGTATGTAAATATGTATGTAAATATATACATCCACTTTTTCCTACACCAACAAAGGCATCACTGGTGATTCTTTCACCTAGAAGCCTGACATCTTTCTCCACTGATAATCTATGACTTTTTTAGATTGTTTACCTTTTTTTCGATCGTCTCACAGGTCAGAAGAACTTCAAATGTACAGTCTGTGAAAAGTCGTTCACACAGAAATCCCACGTGGCGTCACACATGCTCATTCACACCGGCGCCGAGAAGCTCAAGTGTGACCTCTGTGAACGGACTTTCCTCAGGAAGCACGACCTGAAGCAGCACATGTTCTCACATACACAGTATGTCACTTACCTGAATGTTGGGAAAAAACTTGCTCATTTTGTCTTTAACTGATAATTTCACATATTTCTGTCCCTAAACAGTGAGCGTCGAATACAGTGCCCAAAGTGCAACAAACACTTCCTGAAGACTAACCACCTGAAGAAGCACATGAACTCGCACGAGGGCCGCAGAGACTTTGTCTGCGAGAAATGCCATAAAGCGTTTCTCACCAAATACCACCTCACCCGTCACCTCAAGATCTGCAAAGGCCCCAAAGCCGAGAGGGCGTCACGCAAGGAGCAGGACATAGAAGAGGATGAGGAGGAGGAGGAGGATGAAGGTGACAGCAGGGGGGAAGGAGGAAAAGGAAGAGACAGATTGATTGACTCCACAAGTAATGAAGATTGTGGTTTAGATGTTGGAGGATACAACTCTGACAAGTCCCCATCGCCGCCTCATTGATGACCACAGTGCCTCTTGTTGGTTTGTTTTTTTGTTGCCTCAACACTAATGTAATATCTTGCCAAGTATCATTTACTACATTGTAATTGTCACATTTAATATAAAAACGTTTCGGAAAGATCTATACTTTGAATAATGTTTCGTTCAAATTCGTGTTTCTTTCCTTAATTCAGTGAAACTCTGTGCAATAGTATTGGTTCATAGAATTTTGTGGGGTTTTTTTTTGCTCTTATAAGTTATAATTGTTATTTTGTCTGTTTAAACTTTTCCAGCCAATCATTGTACGTTCAGAATAACCTGACTCCTTATTTATTGAATAAATCATTTTCTTTTCATGTTCAAATTTTCTTTCTTTTATGTTAACCCATTGAATTGAGGTCTGAGCAGCGGTAGAGAATATTAAAATATACTTACATTTGAATTAACCATCGTATCATATTCAACACCCTGTGTAACTCCACACAGCTGAGGGCAGGTAGCGCCCTCACGTGGACAAAGAATTCAAGTCGGAAGGCTGATAATGGTAAGCTCCTAAATAAAATGACCAAACGGACCATTTTTGGAGTAGAATGCGTTAGAAACTGACTAAATTTGCTTTTAATGTGCCCATGATAGAACGGGTTATATGTAACAACATTTGTATAAAATATTAAGAAAAAAACAAATATAAAACAAACCCAAATACAGTGGGTAGTGTCAATCATATCGTAAAAATATAAGTAAAAAGTGTTTTTTTCTTGTTCTCTGTTTCTCGATTTATTAGACTCACCAATCTTATTAGGTTAACCATTTTACAACGCAAACCTTTTTTGAAAAAAAAAAAAAGCAGAAACCTAAGTCCCTCCTACCGGAAGTAGAAAGTGTAGCTTCCGGTTCAGTACAAATCATGCAGCGCCGCGGTTGTCATTCTCGTTAGCGTGGTAGGAAACGTCTTTATGTTTTTCTAAAACTTCTAACTTTATTTTCTCTAAAATTCTTTATATTCCTTACTCGCAAACACCTATACATACATTTTCAAACTTATAGCTAAACCTACGTCATTTTCCTACATTTCCTTTCATGTGTATTTGTCCTTATTGTTAGCTAATTTTAGCTCTGTGTTATAGCTGTAAGTTGAGGGACAGTTATGACCCCCTGTCTTTAATGTAGGTCATGCATAGTAAACAGTTGTTAGTTCTGCACCCTCTGTTTGCGTGATATTTTTTTTCCTTTTCACCATGGTCCTGAGTCTCTCATTTTTGTAACTTGGCTTCTTGTGTCAGCTTAAACATTGAGGAGAGCATAAGACCATGTTTACTCCACCGAAGGAGGTGATGCCCAGTATGATTGACAGTGCTCTGAGGATGAGGAGAGAGGAGCAGGCTCGGCAGGTTGTCCTCGCCTGGGCTGTGCTTAACGTCTCTCTGGCCGGCATGATCTACACTGAGATGTGAGTTCTTCAAACAGTTGCTTCCAGTTGTAGTTTTTACCCTAGGCAGCGAACCATCTTTTTTGTATCTTGCTCTTTTAAAGGTCGGGGAACTTGCTGAGTCGATACTACAACATCACCTACTGGCCTATCTGGTACATTGGTAAGACAGAACAACTGTTTAATTTTTAAGGCATATCAATAAAAAACTTACATACTTGCAGATGTGTAGGTGTTTACAAATTGTTAGCTTTTAATTAGCACTTGTTGTTTCTCAAATGACAAACCGGCCTGTCCTCCAACCTCAAGAATTAGAAGTTGTTGTTTTTTGAAATTCTTAGTACAACATTCTGAAATTTTCTCCTTTGATTTCAAAATTTAGTATATTATATATATTTTAGATTTTTATTTTTAGGTTGTTTGTGTATTTTAATTACTTCATTCTGCAATGTGTCATTTAGTTTTAAAGTCTCTGTAAAAATAAACATTTATTGAATGTAAAACAATTGCATATAAACAATAATTCTAGAGTTTGGGGTTTTTTTGTTTACTGTGTGAAGTTTAACGCTTTGTATTGTATGTGTTTCTTATATGTTTGTCTTCTGTAGAACTGTTGTTAGCGTCTCTCTTCAGCCTCAACGCTCTTTTTGACTTCTGGAAATATTTCAAATATACTATGGCACCATCTACTATCGCTGTATCCCCTGAACAGCATCTCCTGCTGGGGCTCAGAAACACAAGTGAGACTTAGTTTTCTCAGTGTTTTATTTCACATGTTGGGATCAAAAAAAGTTCATCTTAAATCTTAAATCTTAAATAATTCTTTTGAATGTAGGTATACAGGCCTCTCCGCCACAGAGGCAGGAAAAAAAGGAGACTCCTGCTCCGGCGCAGTTGTCTCCCCTGCAGGGTCAAAGTGTGCTGAGTTTCAGCCCCTCTCGATCTGCCACCATCAACCCAAAGTTCTCCCCGAGCTGTGTTCCTGGCTACAGTGCTTCACTCAGCCCATCCACTCCAAACAATGCTGGGGGGGGCTTCTCTCCCTCAGTTGCTTATGGAAAGGTATGATATTCACACCATTGATATATCTTCTCAAAGGTAATATAAGAATTAAACAGAATAACCTTATTGCATATCTCACATGACTCTCCACTGCAGGTGTTGAACTACAGTCCCTCCCCTGGTTCATCTCCTTACCCCAGCAGCATTGGTCCAGCAGAGGGCTCCAACCTAAGGGCTAGGTATCGCACGTCGCCCTCAGTGTTTAATTCCCCTGGAAGCAAAGAGGACTGCATGGATGATCTGAAAAGCCTGGAGAGGTTCCTCCGGACAGAGGAGGAGAAGAGTCACCGCAGCCAGCTAGGTAGATACAGAAACTGTAGGAACGTCAGAATCATTGTCATTATTGATTGGTCAGATTAATATGTCTCACAATATTCAATTGGTCCCAATAAAAAACATTTCTGCATGCACAACGTGCAAATAAAAACCTTTGTCGTCCTTTGTAGGAAGTCCAGAGTCTGTGTCTCCGAACCACAGTCCAACATTCTGGAACTACAACCGCTCAGTCGGTGACTACACTCAGAGCCTGCGGAAGTTCCTGTACCAGCCCGCCTGTCGCTCCCAGGCTCCATCTGCACACAAAGATGAGACAGATCTGGGCTCCAAACAGGCAGCAGAGGAGGTTTGACCATCTGAACTGTTGTGACTCTGTTTGTCTGCAGTAACAAAGCTACTGTCAGACATATTGATGTGACTGATGTATTTACCTCGTTTTTTGTGTAGGTGTGGGCCAGAATCACAACCAGCCGTCCTGTCGTGGACCACATTGATAGCTGGACGGCCAAGCTTAGAAATGTGAGTTCAGACGTTCCGTTAGAACTATTAAATGTTGAAGTTCCCCGTATTATGGATTACATGTTAATAATTTTTACACACAGTGGATAAGTGATACAATCCTGGTGCCTTTGGTGAAGGAAATCGACTCGATCAACAGTCAGCTCAGGCGGATGGGATCTCCTGAGCTCCAGATAGGAGGTAAACATATTGGGCTGCCAAAAGCTGCATGTGCAGCTCCAGAAATTTGAAGACAAAATTACATCATGTATTAAAAGACTCGTGACTTTCCCTCTTTTCTCCACTAGAGGCAAGCATCAGCAGCCTGAAGCAGGCGGCCGTGATGAAAGCATCAGCCATACCCACCATAACCTCAATCGTACAGTACCTGGACATCACACCAAACCAGGAATATCTAGTGGAGCGGATCAAAGGTGGGTCCACCTGAAACTCTAGTCTGGTGGTGGGCAAACTTTTTGGCTCACAGGCCAAAATGAGCTTCATAATTTGGCTGGCGGGCCGGTTCAGTATTGGTTGGATCTAAATATAATGCAATACAGAATAATTTGAATAAAATGCACAAGAATAATCCTAAACTTTTAAAAATTGTTTTTCACAATTGATGTCTTGGCCATCTAGGGATTACAGTTGAATTGTTTATCATACCTCGTACCAGTGTCTGTAACTGTGCATTTTATGGTGCTGTTTTGTTGATTTCAGAGCTCGCACACAGTGGCTGCATGAGCTCTTTTCGTTGGAACAAAGGAGGAGACCTGAAGAATAGAAAGTGGGACACGGACCTCCCCTCTGACTGTGCTGTAGGTACACTCATACAACAACTTATTTAACAAAAACTGTTTTACTTCCTGCCTCGCTAAAAACAAAAACTTCCAAAGTTAATTTTGTAATTTTCTATAGACCTTAGTGATTGTGCTGAATAAACACAATAATAAATATTGCAGTAATTTGATGCCGTTTGTTGAATTTTCTCTTTACTATATAACATCATAAATAGATTTCATTTTCACTAGTTCTTTTTTCTCTGAGTGAATAAGATAAAGAGCAGGTCTGTTGCTGTTCTACTTTTTATAGTCTCCCTCTTGATTTCGGAACGTGTCCTGTCATAGTTTGGTCTGTGCTCTAGTTACTTTACAGCAACAGTCTTCCTGCCTTTACTGATCAGGATTAAGCAGCCAAGTGTGTTATACTGACTGGCACATCAGTGTCCCTAAAATCAGGTCACTCTTATATTTTTACCTCCTCAGATCCTCATGAATATGTTTTGCACCTATTTGGACTCCAGACTGCCCCCACATCCAAAGTACCCCGATGGGAAGACCTTTACTTCGCAGCACTTCAGCCACACGCCAGACAAACCTGGTAGGAAACGGTCAAGATTGTTGGGATGTTGTTCCTGCCCACGTCTGTGTCAGACGTTTTTTTTCCTTGATGCTGATTGGGTTCTTGTGCTCTTCTGTAGATGTAACCAAAGAGAACCTCTTCTGTATCCACCAGAGCAGCACCACTCCTCCTCACTACCAGCTCATCTACCAGGGGAACATCTACAGTCTTCCCAAGGTGAGAAATGAATTACATAATTAGTCTATTCTTGATAATGTGGCCCTCAAATGAGTTGAGGGCCACATCTGAGGCGGTCTCAAACTCAAATGAGTTGAGGGCCACATCTGAGGGAAACCTCATTGGAGGGTCATATCAGTGTTCGATGTCTATACAAAAAAATGGTAAAATGCTAGATTATCATTCTTAAATAAACAACTAAAGCATTATAATTAAAAAAAAATTAAAAATGTAATTCAAAGGAAACACCTAATGGCAGGTCAGTTATGAAGATTTGTGTCAAAATATTTTATATGATGCTTTAACAGTAAACTGCCAGCTCTATATAAACAGTGTTACTTCAATGACCTTTGACCTCTGTTACAGGGCAGGAACAACCTTTTCCACACCATCCTCATGTTTCTCTTTGTTATTAAAACCAAGGAGTCTGGCATGTTGGGGTGAGTATTCAAAGTAATTATAGCTACATCATGTGTAGATAAAGAGTCAAAAACATGCAATGTTGAATACATTTCCAACACGTGGTTCTGCAGCACAGTTGTGGATTGTGTTACTGTAAATGTTCAACTTGACCTTTTAGACCTTGATAACTGGCTCGCCTTTCATATTTTTCTTCAGGAGGGCAAATCTCGGACTCTCGGGCGTGAACATCCTGTGGATCTTTGAAGATTGATGCGTTTATAATGTGCATATGGAGGATTACCGTGAGTGCTGCACACACCGGTTGTAAACTCAGACTGGCTCTTCATTTTGTAATTCACATCATTTAAGTCAGGATTTTTTTTCTCTATCATGCTGCTGTGAGCTTACCATACAACACAGAGCTGTGGTTTTATCATTGGTTTTGTTATTTTTGTATTTTGTATTTGTCGGCGCGGCAGAAATGTAAATATGACACAGTTTGGGTCGGAGAGGGCAACGACCTGGTTAAACTGAATGTAAATACATGTTGACATGTTCCGTTACAGTAGCATCTGTGACTTTTTTAGCTAGCGTGCTGGTTTGTTTTTTGTTGTAAAATGAATGCCTGCAGTGACAGAGATGGTGCTTAAATTTACTTTAAAAACTGATGCCTCCTGGAAAGTCTCTGGCACACTCTCAGTAACCGAGGATAACTTGTGATTTGCTGAAAAACGAACAGAAAACCTCGTTGTCGCCAAAGTCTTTGCTCTGATTGTACAGAAAGTCATTTATGACATTTAAAACTTTTTACATGCTCACATGCCTTACAGTACTTGCTTATTCTGTAAAATGTCACTTGAAAGGATGAATAAAATTTAGATACAAAATTCTCTTGTTCATTTCTCTCTTGAGTTGAGCCTATTTAGCTTAGTTTCCTGGACGGCCACATGGTGGCAATATAGCCCAACTGAGTAGTAATGTCAAATTTGACCTTACGCTTGTTCCCATCATCTTTAACGACACTGTACATCCACTATATGTGCTATTAGCAGATATGAACAGTGATTTACAACACATATTGGTTGTTTTTAAAATATTGCCTGTCACTAGTAGATGAGGACAAACCGTTTTTCTAAGGAGTTAATGGGATAACAATGTGTCCTTGAAAAGAAGAGTGATTATCTGAAGGATATGGTGCGGAATTTACAAGCTTTGTAGATAATACGATTTTTTCCAAGCCTGATTTCTAAATATTTAGAAAATCAAACATGTATGTGTTTACTAAATACATTATTATGTGGTAACAACCGTGTTTGTTTTGTAGTTTTTATTTTCAGTTCAAAACTAAATTTCCCACAAAGCTGTTTACATTGTAGTTTCGCCCGCTGGGAAATGCAGTTAAAATCTCATCTGAGAGTATTTCCGTCTAAATACTATACATATACAGGGTGTTGTTCGTAATTTATATTCATTTATTTACACAAACACGAGTGTCAGTGGTGTGTTTATTAACGCAGCTTAAGAGACTTGAGGGCAGGGGGCGTAGAAAACACGCAGAGAACTACAACGCCCAGGATAGACCTGGGCCGCTGTCGCACCGCGCTGCTCATATCCGCTTGACTTGCTCTCAGTGTTGGAAAAAGGACTTTGAGAAACTGCAGCGATGTCAGTCCAGGTTGTGGCAGCGAAAATGGCAGAGGTCGAGCTGAAAGACGTCCCCGCAGGCAAAGAGCTGCCGATGAAGTCTGCACTTTCACCCACGTCGGATGGCAAGGGTGTCGGTAGGAACGAGCCGCACGAGGCCGGTTCCTCCGCTGCTGCGTCCCCGTCAGTGGAGTCCTCTGCCAAAGCCGGGGAATCCAGCCTGGGTTTGCTCACCCCGAACCCCGCTAAGATGCCGCAGGCGTCGGCTATGAAGCGGACGGACCCGCAGGAGAACGGCGGAGAGGCTTTTGTCAACCGTGACGGTACCGTGGCCGAGGCTCCGCGTATGAAAAAGGTAGGTCGGTAACGAGACAACCATTTTATTCTCGTCATAGCCGCTCATATGCTCGCTGATATTGAAGCTCCTCGCCGCATTGGAAGCTCCGTGGCTTTGTGTGACGATGCTAACAGGCTAACTCCAAACCAAAAGCTGATTCGGCGGTGTCATTTTTGGACTGCATTTATGATGCTAGCTGCGAATAAAGCAGTGAAGAATGTATTAGTTGTTAATCGACTAAAATTGAGCAGCTTCACTGTTTAAAAGTGACAATTAAAACTTTGCGTCAAGAGGCAACTAACGGTCTCTGTCAAACTTGTCAAAAGTTCTAATTTAAGTTTTATTCTAAATATCTCGTCATCATCACGTATGTATTAACTGTTTCTTCACACTAATATTGATCGCTGATGTTTGTTATTCAAACATTTAAAGGTAGAGTCTACGCAGATTTACCCCTGTGTTGTTGATCAATAACAACATCTTTACACTTAGCTTAAATGTATTTCTTTGTTTTCAAGAACCAACTCTTAATTTGTTAAATATATTGTCAGGCTAAAGCTGAGGAAACGGAACTAAATATTTCAACCATGAGTCCCAGTTAGTCACCACGACCAGTTGGTGAAAAAAAAAAAGATCTTGTTGTGATGATAAATACTGTATATGTAAACTGAGGGGAACAAACGTGACCCGATGTAGGTTTGATGCAATAGGGTGGTGTGAACTATCTGGTTTACCCCTCAAACTGTTACCTTTACAAAAGTCGGCACTCATTTTGTACAGTCTGTGATCCCACATCAGGCACAGTTGCCAAATATGTGATGACCTTAATATGATTCGCTATCACGAAAATACAAGATTGTTTCGCTGTCGTATATTTTGGCAAGAAGCTAAATGCTCAAGTTTACACCTAAAAAAATAGCTTCCCAAATAGCCTTTTAGCTTCTGTGGTTAGTGTATCCTGTATGACAGTAAACACTGAAGTCGATATATTTTTGCTGGTCTTTGAATGTTTCATTACTGGGTAAATCACAGCAAAAGTCGACATCATTAGGCTAGGCACCTCTAGTATAATTGACTGTTTCTGTCAGCAATGTTGTCCTGCCGCTGTGGTGTGAATCAAACATAGCTGATCTCGGTTGTGCCTTATGGTAATTTTATAGCTGCGTGATCTCGGTTGTGCCTTATGGTAATTTTACTGCCAAATTGGATTGTGATTTACAAAGAATAAATAGAACTCAGTCCTTGTCACAAGAAATTAAACACTTCAGGGGAAGAAAGTCTTTTGGTAAATGAGGTGGCAGTGAAAAGTAACCACAACTTTCCTAATTATAACCTGACTTTCTTCTAAAACCAATGGAATTTTTTTTTTCTTTTTTTACTTTATAACGTAGCGTCAGCATTTTGTGTCCACGCGGTGTATCGACTCTGTTATAAACACAGTATATTCCCTTCAACTACTAAATTACAACACTGAACTTTTTTTTTTCGTCTCAAAACAATTCAAGAAACAACTCCACTTCCACTTCTGGTTCACATGATACCTTATTCCATGACAGTACAAGCACATGATATTCTTGCTGTATGTATGATGCTGTGGTTCTCTCTGCTTAGGTTTACTGTTTGCATCGAATGATGACTCAGGTATCAATATTAAATATAATTTAATTTAATTTTGCATACAAAGCGGTGCGGGACTAATCAATTTATTGGCACTTGGAGTGGAATGGGTGTTACAACATTCCATTAATCAGACCGGTTTTCTCCAGTCTGATGGAACCTTACGGGAATCTTTGACTGAGGTGACGTGTTCAAATGGAGTCTTGACTTTTTTGCAGTTATCCAAAAAAAAAAAAAACTGCTCTTAAATCCTCTTATCTGCCTGTGCTGTACAGGCTTGATTAGTCCTTGATTGATAAGGCCAATGTTCAAGGAAAGGTCTGTTTGTGATAAGGAGGTGGCTGCCAACTTCATTGTTTGATTCTAGGTGTTAGTTGACATGTGATTTATACGGCGCGGTCCCCGGAGTGCACTTTGGTTGTGGTGGCCAGGTTCAAACAATAACTTTTATTCTGTGTATTCTAAACAATGGGTCATTATTGTCCTTTAGACACAGGCTTCAGTCCCATAATTGTTTATTTTTTTAATGCAATCTGAGGGACAATGAACGCTATTCATTGTAAAATTATGACATAAGAATTTAGGGACAAGGACTGACTTCACAAACACGTCCACAGTTTTGAGGAGAAAGTCGTCCTCACCCATTAGACAGCCCCTAAAGACATTTGAGTACAAAATGACCCACAGTGCAATAGCCGGAGAGTGCAGTGTGAGGATGGACCATAGACCAACAGCATCTGTGAGCAGATGGCTCTACATCCCCGAGACTCTGAATGAAAGCAGGCATCTGGAGGGCCACCTGCAGCCGGGAGCACTGGGTCCACAGTGTCAACCTCATCTGAGGCGCAGCACGAAGCTCGACACGGAAAACAACAACCACGTCTGGATTATAGAGGAGACCAAGTTCTCTTACAGGACCATGGTACAGATGGTGTTAGTCTCCAAGATTCTATTCGATGGAATTGTATTCATGCCTGTTTATTTGATATGAAATGAAACCCTGCTGATCATTTTCCGAGGCCTTGTCCTGCGAGTCGTTAGGTATGTTGTAAACAATTCAACGATAGTGTTTAATCATTTTTTGTGTACTCATAGCCATACTTTAAACCAAGGTGGGGGCCGCCAGGAGGCGCTAGGAGGGAAGATGTAAAAAAATGCAAAAAACTTTTTGTAAGCTGTTTACACAAATGTTAAGATTAATTATTTCCACCACCTTTTAGTACACCCAGACTGTAGCAATCAAAGTCAGAAAAATGTTGTTTAAGTACTGTATATGTGTACACAGGACAAGGCACAGAACATACTCACAACAGCAGATATGGTTGTATGGACTGATGTGCTTTTAATACAAGTGACATCACTGTCTCTAATCTCTTTCTGGTAAAACCTTGTATGGGCTCATTTTTTTTAAATCCCCATGTTATCATTACATCACGCCATTGACACAAAAAGAAAATATCTCTGCACTTCTTTAATTTCGCCATTTCTGTGCGCGTAAAACATGCTTGTGTGGTTAAAACCGTGGCTCCCGGGATTAGCGGCGGCACCTCTTTTTTTTGGTCATTTTTTGGTTAAACGGTTAACCCTTCAGTGCCCAAACTGGTGACCAATGCATTTCATAATACACTCATTATTTTCCATTGTGTGTTATTGATCCTAGAAATGTAAAAGAAATGTGTGCGATTGTTAAAGTAATTTCATGGTTATTGTGAGCTGGAGTAAGAGACGCAATAAATAAATTGCAACACAGATTAATCTATCACATTAGGGTGGATAATCTGCTGTCACTACATTTGTATAATTCGATTCTGTAGTGTACACCCTATGGGACAAGAGGCTCCGTGCAGCTTATTTATAGACCATGAAGCATAGTGGCTCCTAGGCCACACTGCATTATAGATGTTCATCCCTAGCCTGGCCTTGAGCATCTGCCTACGCTGCAGCCAAAGGTAAGCGACGCAGCAGAGGATGCAGATATGCGGGCAGCAGTGTTGACTGACTGGATGACGGAGCAGCCGTTAATCCCTGCCTCTATCATGTCATCACATGATGGGATTAAAAAGCCTGCTCTCTGTTATGGTTGGTTCCAGATGTAAGCTGTTCGAGTCCCAGATGATGATTTCTTTTGTGTGTGTGTGTCCCACAAGGACTTGTCAAGTGAATGTCTGATTTCTGAGAAGCGGTAAATAGGAGTCATAAAAACAAGCCTGTTACTGGCTGAGGCTGTCAGGTCCTGTCACCAGAGTCACCTTCCCCATTGTCTTTTTCCCGATGACTTTTCAACTCATGTTTGGCTGATGATTAACTGGTTCGACGCACCGACCAATCAGAAGTGTCATCCCTATCACAGTGTTAGGAAACCTTTCAAGAAGTGTACTTCTAGCTGGTTTTATAAAAAGCCAAGAGGAGGTTGTGCTGAAGATGACGTCACCTCTCTCTAAGCTGTTGCTGCTGCTGTTAATGCTCACAGGTTAACAGGCTTACAGTAACCTGTAGCTGCTGTGTTGAAGAATGTGGAGTTTACAGTCAGTGATACCAATGACAGACATGCTAAGCTAAGGTGAAACTGCACAGTGTCTGTAAAAATATTGGAGTGGTTTCCAAAGTGCGGAGGGTGGCCCCTTAGAGGACATGATGATACAAGGTGGCCACAGCAAGGCAAAATATTTTTCAAATTTAATATTTTCTTTATTTTTCACGTGGGAAAATTGCACAGGTTTGTTATTGTATTTGCTTTCTTGCACGAGGAGAAGTTTTGTGGGAATTGCAAAATTTCCCCACTTGACTGTCCAGGGCAACACATCTTCCTATGGCCCATGTGTGTTTCCACAGCTTAGCAAACAGAACGCTTTATAGCTTATAGATACTCACTCCCGTAACCATTGTACGCATTTGTTTAATCCGTGTGTGTGACAACCTGGTTGTTAGTTAACCACTAAAGTATTGGTTCATTCTGAACTCTGCCCTGTTAACGTTGTCATCTTCATCTAGTTGTGCCTGCCACAGAGGAGAACACAGTATTTTTCTTCCCCTAGACTCTCATTTGTGAGTCACCTCAGCAATCAGGCCGGCGTGTGTTTTTGTCCGTTGGTGAGCACAGTGTTTAATTACACATGTTATCCTGTGGGGATGCTGTCGTCTTCTTACTGACGTCCTGTCCTGCTTCAGCAAGTCTTTGGTCTTTAACACAACTGTTGAGGTGAATGTTTGTTCTCTCTGGCACATAACACAGGACGAAATCACGACCACTTGGTTTCAATAAGTAACGGTAAACAAATCCATTTGAAACATACGTTTGTTGACTAGTTAATGGACTTGGAAAAACGTTTTTATGTTAAGCTGACTGATTTTGGTCAAGGGTTTGTTAGTTAATGTACTACAACTGTACTGTTCAGTACAGG